AAAAAAAAAAAAAAAAAAGTAAGGAAGGGAAATGGAGAAATGGAGCCTAGATTTGAATCCTGGCTCCCTCACTTACTGGTTGGGTAACTTACGGCAGCAATTGTGACTTATCTGGAAAACAGGGATAATACCTGTTTCACCAGGTTGCTTTGAAGATTAAAACTTACAAGTACCTTGTAAAGCACACATAGGTTCTCAACACATTAACTGCTTTCCACCCAAAAAGGCTGAGAGATTAGCAGTTGACCTTCACTAACCACTCTAGGTGGCTCACCATCTTTTCCAGAGAAGCTCCCGCTGTACTAAATATGCCTCGTTCAGGATAAGGATATAGATAGACCCATGGGCTTAACTTTCAAACATTAATTTGCCCACCTTTAGTCAAGCATATATTTGACATTTAACATAAAAAGGAGACAAAACAGAAGAACATGCTTCACGTTACAGGTGGCAGGAATATTCTGCGTATTAAAATGAAGAATGTGAATACAGAGCCTAAGACTTGGGTGCTCAGATTTTTATCAGTTGAATCTGTATAGCCATGCAGTCTCTTGGAAGAAAAACAGACTAAGAACCCACAGCCATGTAACCTTCAGGAGTTGTGTCAAATGCTAAATTAGAAAGCTGACCCTAATTCAGAGTTCCTACTTCTTAATAGGCTTCACACATATTTTTTTTTTCCAGGCATTAAGCACTGTAACCTAAGTGGGAAGAAAGAGATCCACACCTTCCCCAAAGAAACAGAAGATGGATCTAGTGTCAGGCTCAATTAGACCCAATTGTGATGACTCTCCAAAAAGGAACAATGCGGCTCTTGTGATATGCTCAGGCAGAAAGCTTGGACGTTTTACAAAACAATCTTATCCCCGGAGAAACCTGGGTTCCAGCCCTCTTCCTGGAAAGAGGGGTTGATCCAGGAAAGTTTTATACTACTCTTATCAGCTCTTGCTGAGATCAGTACTTTTTTAACAATCTCAGAAACAACCAAGACCAATGTGAAACCAGGAATATGAGCCACTCCCCTGTCGGCGCATTCATACCCATAGGTCTCCACAGTCAAACCACAGGGTGCCAGATTATTTTGTTATTGTCTACCAGAGGGAACTCTTTGCTGGAATTGTTGGTATTTCATTAATCTGCCCCGATTTCAGTCTAAAAACCCTTGACGGAGTGGATCCAGTGGCCAGCCTCGGCTGCTGGAAGTGCTAAAATGCAAATGTGCAAGAATCCTGGCCAAGCTCCCCATCCCCCAGGAAAGTGCTTCCTTACAGCCAGGCCTGGAGGGGAATGTTAAAAAGAGGGCTTGAGCTGCCCTCCTCCTTTCCACCGGGACCCTCGCTCACACTGGGAGATTCAGCATGCATGACTGAGCCGGCAAGCACGCAAGGACAGCGCTCTTTTAACTTTTCTGAACAATGGCTGCAGTCCTTCCACCTTTACATCCTCCCCACACCCACTCACAGGGTCAAGAAATCCATCTTTCTTGGCCACATCGTGATCCACTTTTCAACGTCACCCCTAGATCTCATTTTCACCCAAAGAAAAACTGGCCACTCGGGGAAACTGTGACTTACATACAAATCTGGTTTTTTAAAAAGTTTCATTTTGTTCAATTTCTTTAAATTTCCAGGTTGTTGACAGTTTCAAGCCAAAAATTATGTAAATCTCCAGTCTAATCACATTTCTAGAAACAAAACATGTCAGTAGTAAACCTTACACAGAATAAAATTTCACCCACGAGCTGACTCACCCCCACATAGGATGCACCAAACTCCACCTTGCGTCCTCTGAGAGTATACAAACAGCACCTCCTACCTTGGCATGTACCCAAGCACACAATGCCTTAAAAATAATTCGCAGATACAAGGCTGTTGGTTTTTTTTTTCAAAAACATACTTCATATTTCCTCTTTTATTATATAAATATCAGTTTAACCTTTTACTGTAAGAATATAAACGTTTTAAGAGGATCTTTGTTATTATTTATACAAATTCACAAACAGTACAATTAATTGATAAAGGTCTCTGGGTTTCTTTAACTCCATGGTCTCGCATGTTGCTGTGGAGGATTCTAAAAAAATAAACAACAAAAATCCAACAAAAATATACATCCTACTCAAAAGTGATTTCTTTAAAGCCACAAGTCCCAACCCCCACCAAAATAAAGAAAGTCATCTATTCCTCCATTTAGAAACAGAATTTTTTTAAAACCCACAAACTCCCATTTTGTTAATAGAACAGAGATAAGACATGAACTTCATCACAGCCCCGGGGGCTCTGCAGGCCAGCTTTGCTCCTGTTTCCCACAGGAAGCCGCACTGTGTGACCTTTTTGGGGGGAAACTTGGAAGAGGGTGAGGGTAGGGCAGAATTTGCATATATAATCATCATTTTCAAGACACAATCTGCATCTCAAACAAAAACAACGGTTCAACTCTCATTGCTCCCACATATTTGTGCTATAAATTAAGTCAAGATTTAGAAACAGGTCCTCAAATCCCAATGAACAAGGAGAAAAAGGAAATTATAGCCAGAATGTGGAAGTGGGGCACACTGGACGGATGGAGGCTGGGAAGAAGCCAACACAAAAAGACGGACAAACCCAAGGGCATCTTTCCAGTCTAGGCACAAACATGTTTCAGTCTCAAAATATCTCTCTTGTAGAATTCCAGGGCTTCAGAAAAAAAGTAAACTAAAACGAGGTAGCCAGACATATATATGTATATATATATAATTTATATATATATAATATATAGAATATATTCAGCAGAAAAAAAGGACCATGATTTCAAATTTTTTCCAAAAAAACAATTTTAAAAAGGAAAGAAGAAAATGAAATGAGCGTGAACAGCAGAGTACTGTAAGAGGAGGAGTGATGAGAAGAGACTGGGATTAGTTACAAAGTGGAAGAAGGGTGAAAAGGCCTTTGTAGCTGGGTTTGCTTTTTATACATTTGAAAATAAAAACCAGATCACAGTATTCAAATGAAAGCTGAAGTGAAGGCAGACATTTTCCTCAACTCCCCAGGGTTGAAAAGACAGTCACTCCCCACCCCCATTTCCAGTCACAGCAGTGGGAATACAGTAGCTGAATCAGTCCTCCACCCCCTGCAGGGGAGTGGGTGGGTAAGCAGCCGAGTCCATTCTCCATCCGCCGGGAAAAGGAGCTGGGAGTAGGGTAGGGTAGGAACCCCAGCTGCAAAGAGAATGGGCTGGAAGCCGGGAGGGGGCTGGAGGAGGGAGGAGAAAACGAGCCTGAGGCTTCTGTCACAGCCCCATCTCATCCGCTGCAATGATCTGTGCATAAGTGTGCGTGTGAGTGTGCGGGGGCGGTGGTGATGGGAGGATGAACAGGGCGGGACAAGGGGAGCTGGTGCTGCCGCCCTCACCTGACCTTCTCACTGTCCGTCATCTGCCAGAGTCCCAGGTTGAGTACCTTGAGGCAGGGCAGCTGCGTGATGCGCTCCAGGCCGCGCTTGGTGATTCGGGTGCAGCCGTACAGGTCTATGCCGGTGAGCTGGCTCAGGTGCTCAGCGATCAGCTCCAGGCCCTTGTCCGTGATGCGCACACACTGTCCAATGTTGAGCGTGCGCAGCCCGTGCATCTGCCGCACCATGCGGTTGATGCCATCATCACTGATGTGGCAGGAGCAGAGGGAGAGAGACTTGAGGCCATCCAGCCCTTGGGCTATGTAAGCCAGACTCTGGTCTCCCACCTTGTCACAGAACGACACATCCAGCCCCGAGAGGCGCAGGCTGCCCATGGCCAGATGCATGATGCCCGTGTCACTGATGTTGTCACAGGAGCGCAGGTTGAGGCTGCGCAGGCTGCCCATGTGCGACAGGTGCAGGAGGCCAGCGTCCGAGATGCCCCCACAGAAGCTGAGGTTGAGGAGCCTCAGGCCCGTCAGCCCTCGGGAGATGTGCTTTAGAGAAAGATCTGTGAGCTTCTGGCAGTCCTGTAGCGTGAGCTGCTCCAGGCCCAGGCAGCCCTCCGCAGCGCTGCGCGTCATGCCGGCCAGGTGCCCGATGCCGACATCCGAGAGGTGGCGGCAGCTGCGGAGGTTAAGGCTCTTGAGGCGCTGCAGACCCCAGGCGATGAGCAAAAGGCCAGTGTTGGTGATGTTGCTGCAACCCCCCAGCTCCAGCACCTCCAGGCCCTTCAGATACTGGGCTATGCGGCCCAGGCTGCTGTCAGTGATCTGCTTGCAGAGGCTCAGGTTGAGAGCGCGCAGGGAGCCGATCTCCTGCACAAACGCGTGGCCCAGCCCGTTGTCGGTGAGGTTGTAGCAGCCGCTGAGGTTGAGGCTCTCGATGTTGGCCATGCCCTGGATCACGTAGCTGAGGCTGCGGCGGAGGCTCAGGATCTGCACGCGGCGGATGCCCCGGGCCTGCAGGCTGGGGAACAGCGACGGGTTGGCCCGGCGCAGGTGCAGCTTGGCCTCCACCCCCCGCCACACCGACTTGTGGTAGGCGGCGTCCCGCCAGGCCGTGCACACCTGCGCCGCGCGCCCCTTGTCCCGGACGTCCAGGTAGCCGAAGATCATGGCCAGCAGCTCCGGGAACAGGCATGAGATGTGGGTCTCCATCTTCCTCCTCCCCCCTCCGCGGCGCTGGGGGGAGGAGGCGCGGGCCCCGCC